GTTGCACTATAATTTTAACTTTTTGTGCTTGGAAAAAAAATTCTTGGGGATAATTGTATTTTCAAGCTATGATTCTAATAATCTAATTCCACCCACTGAGTTTTCACTTTATATCTACCGTTTTCTTTCTTTTCTTTCATTGATAATGTGTATACTTACACTTCATAAATTTTTTAGTTGTGTAATTTAACAGCCAGATGTATTTCCAAGTTTGTAGTTTTTTTAAAAAAAGAAACGACCCTAAGACTAAGACCTAAAATTCATTAAAAGATTTATTAGCAGTAATTCTACTGGTTTAATGAAAGGAACAATTAATACTTAATTTTTTGAACAATTTTGCATGCTTATATCTGATAATCTACACAACTAATTTGAAGACAACAATATGCAATATAACAACCGTTGCTGAATTCTTATCATCTTGTTTAGCGAAATTCTGTATCGTTTCTAATTTTTTCACTACTTTTTATTCTCTTTAAAAATATAAAAAAAGGACAACTACAACCTAACAAAAAATACTAGATATCAATTTGACCAAATCAAATACTGCTCGAAAGTTATTGCATAAAAATATTAGACAGATTTCGGATAGAAATATTATATTGGCTAATATTGCTTTTCAATATTCTCTACTCATTAAGGAAAATAAGACATTAAATACAACCTTGACCTGTGAGTGTGTGGGAGAGCTGTGCTGTCCTGCGCCTGCCGGACCAAGCCCAGACCCCTGTGCGAGAGAGACTTTCCACTGCATTCTCTGGACCTCCCTTTCGTCTCCAGAGCCAGTCCAAGCCCGCCCTGTGAGTGAGAACTTCCACCACGCTCTTGCGAGCCCTTCAGACCCACCAAAGCCCAGGTCCAATGACATGATACTTCACTTGGAAGACCCAAAAGACTCCAAGAAGCTACTAGAATTAATACACAAATTCAGTAGCATAGCAGAATACAAAGTCAAACCCAAAAGTCAGTAGCATTCCGCTACACAGATAACAAACACACAGAGAGGGAAATTAGAGAAACAATAACTTTTATAATAGCACCATGGAAAATGAAATACATTGGAATTCATCTAACTAAAGAAGTCAAAGTCCTTTTCAAGAAAAATTACAGTACTCTGAAAAAAGAGATCATAGAGGATTTCAGAAAATGGAAAGATAGTCACTGCTCCTAGACAGGAAAAAACAACATTGTGAAGATGGCCAGACTCCCAAAATTGCTGTACAGATTTAATGCAATCCGTATCAAGCTACCCACAACATACCTCCCAGACCTACAGAAATTGTTTATAAAATTTATTTGGAAACAGAAAAGACCTAGAATAGCAAAGGCAATCCTGGGCAATAAAGACAAGGTAGGAGGCATTACAACTCCTGATTAGAAATTATACTACA